CCCACTCCGTAGCCTGACCCACCAGATCAGTCCAAAACCTTTAACCCAAATCCATTTACCCAAACCCACCTTACCCTAAATACAATTAGTTAGGTTGTTGATTTTGTTATAACCGTAAGTGAGTTGGTTATGGTGAGTTAGTTTTGATAGATATAAAATAGTGGATTTATGGGTGAATTGGGAGTAGTGAGATTGAGAGTTAGAGATAGAGAGGGAGAGAAACCGCGAGAGGATTCCGGTGAGGTTCGGGACCCTTTTCGATGGCCGATTCCAGTGGGTGTCGAGGCTTGGAGTGAAAAGCCGACCTCCACCTTGAGGCGTGGTTACCTCAGGCCGTTCTCGCACCATGGGGCTTAGCCGAGAACCGCCGTCCCTTCGCCGGTGTGATAGATCGGAGAAGAATCGGGATTGTTCAAAGTCTTTCGGAAGAGATCACAGTTGCTGTCCTCGAGAAGAAATCGCCGTTGCCGACCGGCGCAGTCCAGGTCTGTTCGTCGAAGCTGTTATACGCTGTCGCCGTAAGACATCTCCAATGGGAGCCACTGCCGCCAAAGGAAGTCCGTCACAAACCAGCCGCTTCCGATCGTTGTCGACATCGGGGCTGGAACTCAATTGTAGAAGCAGACACACGAAACAGGGAGTGCCATATTCAATACAATTCATTTATATCTTGTATTAGGGGTTGTTTATTGTGTTTTAATATCCATATTCCAAAACATGATTTTAGCCTATTTTTAGTATTAATTTCATTTCGGTAGTATTGGTATTGGTTTTATTCGAATTTTGTTTCCACTAATTCATTGATTCGTATTTTTGTATATGAGGTTTTGTTCGATAAATCTAAAGAACTCGGAAATAAATTCACAACAATGCTTATTCTCCTTTCTTTTTCCAAATCCAACCCAAGAGCTCAGGTCATATCACTTTATGGCCAAATGAACTTGGTCCATATCAGATCCAATAAGTCAAAATCATACCCACAAAATAAATTCACTCGAGTTTTAAGTCAAATTTTATCCATTCACAATTATAAAGAAAATATAACAAAAAGTGGAGGAAAAAAATTTGAGTGAGAAACCAAAACCAAGAAGGAATGATCAAATCAACACTATAATTTTAGGTCCATATTAGATCCAAAAAGCCAAAATCAGACCCACAAAATAAATTCACCCAATATTTTAGTCAAATTTGATCCATCCATTGTGGTAGGAAAAATGGAACAAAAAATGATATATTTTGGTCTATAGTTATCCACTAATAGTTGAAGAAAGTTAAGAGAATTATGTTTTGAATAATGGAAACAACTTCCAATTAACACCGGATGGAGAAGCGAGTTAAATAATACAAAAGAGAAAAGCCTGGAACCGAGAAGAAATGATCAGATCATGGTCACACGTTCAACCCCCACACTACCAGATCATCCCTTACGAGACTTGTATATTTACATTTTTTTAACTTTATAAATTATGGTTTTGTTCATTTAACGTTTTTGGATGATTTGATTTTTGATGTGTTATATGAAGAATTGTGTTAATAATAGAAAATATATTATTTTAAATTGAATATTTTATTTTTTGTAATAAGTATTTAAAATTTTTTTTATTTTTTTTTTGTGATAAAGAATTGTGTAAAAATATAAAATATTATTTTTGAGGAGTCGCAATCCTAAAATTCTCTTGAACGAACATGCCCTATATTTTTTACAAAATAATTTTTTTATATAATTATATTTAATTTAAAATATATTATTATAATAAATAAATTATTTAAAATAGATAATTAATTTAATACTCCGTCCGTCCCCTAGAATTAATCCACTTTCTTTTGAACACGCATTTTAACAATATGATATCATATAGTTAATTAGTTTGATTAGTTAATATAATATTTGTAACAAGGGAGGGGTTATGTTGTTGATTTGGAAAATTTAATACTTTCAAATCAGCACACGTAATATATATAAATAATACATGTATTTATTACACACAACACGTGTGGTGTTTATAAAGACATATGTTGTATGTTCATAATTATAGTGTATATTGTATAAAAGCATGTCATTTGCTAAAATAAATTGTTGTATGTGCTGTGAGGCTATATCATGTGTTGTATTTGTATTATATTAATATAAGTAATGTGCAACACATGTTGTGTGTTGTTTAGCATAGTGCTGAATTTTGAATTCAACACGATAGTCACAGTCTTGTAATAAAGTACTACCTTCATCCATCTAAAAAGTATATATATTTCTATTTTGGTTGTCTAATTACAAAGTAATCATTTCATTAGATACTCTATTTTTTTCTTCATAAATAACTCTATTTTACCATCACATCATTACTTTTATACACAAAAAAAGGGCAAATTATCTTTACACTAATTTTAACTATACACTATAATTAAAATACTATTGTTTATTAAACTCTGCGTAAAAAAAAAATGTTTACTTTGTCGTTGGAACGAGGGAGTATTATTTTAAATATTTTTTATTTGATAAAATATTTAAATAAAAGTTGAAATATTTTTTATTCTAATTTTTTAATACTCCCTCCATCCCATTGAAAGATTATCACTTTCCATTTTTGTCCGTCCCAAAACAAGGTTATCATTTTCTAATTTAGTAATTGTACTACCTACCTAACATAATAAATACCCTTCCAACTTACACTATATTACACAAATGTCATTACTTTTATATTACACAATACTAGTAGAGTATTTTCGTTTTTTTTACTACAACCCATTATAATATTAATATTAAAAAATCTACGTGTAAAAAATAAACGGCAACCTTACACGGGACGGATGGAGTATTAAATATTTTATATACTGAATTTTTTAAAATTTTTTTTTTTTTTATTGATGCGTGCAATTAGATAATAAAAAAACTTAAATAACTCTAATAATTTAAATTTAAATGTAATTAACATAATAAAAAAATGTAATAATAAAATTTTTATTATAAATAATATATCAAATTTTTTTAAATTGGTTATTGATAGAAATAGTTCGTTGTGACATGTCAAAATTTATACCGCATGTTGTATACCATACCAAAATATTTACGGATAGAAAAATACTGAAATGGAGTGCATACCGTACCAAAAAAATACTAAAATAGAGTGCATACCGTACCAAAAAATACCGAAAATATTAAAATTTCTGTATAACAAAAGTTTTGGTATGATATGATATAATACCGATATGTATTTTGATATTTTCAGTATATATTAAAAGTCAAAATTTTCGAAATTTTGCCATATATATCAATTTTCGGTTTGGCATCAAAATATTTTTTAGTATATACTGAAAATTTAGTACAAAATACAATATGATCCAGTATTTTCAATATCACAATATAATATTTTATGTCGAAATACAAAAATTAAAAATAATTTTATAATTTAAGAAAATATTAGAAAAATAATAATTTTAGTATCAATATACCGGATTATCAATATATATTGATATATTGAATATTAAAATATCAAAACTGTATATTATATTGTATTTTCAATATAGAATTCGAAAATACTAATAGTATACATAGTTATTGTATTGAAAAAGTTTAATATGGTATCATATCATATCAAAATGTACCGTATACAATAATTTTACTCCTCTGTCCCACTTAAATTGTCTACTCTTTTTATTTTCGTCTATCTCACATAATTTTTCATTTCTCTTTTTTGAAAATATAATTATAAATTTTAATCAGATTTCAAATTTTCTAATTTATAATATTTTTTTATCTTAATTAAACTATTTTGTCATCTTAATCTTAATTTATAATTATTTTTATTAAATCATAATTATTTTTACTAATACACTTCTTAGTTATTTACTAATTAATTATACAATATCTAAAATTATGTACCTACTCAATATGAGACAATTTAAGTAGAACAAATGTTGTAATATTTTTTATATTTTTTCCAAAGATTGTGCATTATTTTATCGATTTGATATATTTCACTTTTAGTTGTTAATAATGACAAATGACTCTTTTTCTTAAAATATATATATATATAATTTAAAATCAAATTTCACTGTTGATTCATTTTTCAACTATAAAAATACCAAATGAAATGTCAATTTTTGTATATCAAATTAAAAGTTAAACTAAAATTCTAAACCTCATATAGATACCTATTTATAACATATAAAATTATTTATTTTAATTTTTATTATTCAAATTATAATACAACCTTCAAATTTACAACCAAATAAATAATAAAACAATAGTCTTAGTAATCTAATAAAATATAGTTAGGTTTCAAATTTTAATGATTATTTACTAACTATTAAAATGTGACTAATTTTATAAGACAACTAAAAGAGAAAAATTAAACTAATTTGATGGAAAAATTTAATAATTCTGATCAAATAAATTATGGCGCGTTTAGTTGGCAAAACAAGCCATTTTTTGGTAAAAACCCGCCCAACCCATTTGCAATACTTTACATACACAACAAATTGATAGAAAATAGAGTAATGCTGAATGCTGTATAATATAATATCTTAATTTAAATTCAACACCTGATTTCTATTTCTGTTGTACAAAATATCACATCAGTCAATACATTTTTTTATAATTAACTAACTATCAACCAATTTATCATTATTACAAAAATCAATATCAACTCAAAGATTTCAATATATCCAGAGACACGATAGCAATTTTAAGTAAAGGTCTTTCTTGCCCAATTTTTACAGAGAATTCCTTACTTACGAAATCATTACATTAAATAATCGTAACAGTCATATGTGCCCTAATAAATCCCCAGCAGTGCAACATATAATATATTCCATAATTCCTTGGGAAACAATAGGCAACTATAGAACCTATAGTATGAGCGCACCGGCCCACATGACTGGGAGTGAGTCTAACCACAACAAGTCAACAATTGTAATTGTAAATGCACAAAATTAATTCCAGTATATATATATATATATATATATATATAGATACTTTTATCAAATAGCTAAAGGCAAAAATAAACAGCAAAGCACTGTCCTCGTTCATTTTTCAAAATCACGAAAAAGGTATGCTGAAATTAATGGCATTGACCACTAAAATAAGAATCCCAATCCAAAAACAGTATAGGCAAAACCATTCCCACATCTGCTGCCAATTTACAAATAATAATAATAATAATAATAATAATAAATCGATTATTTAGAAGTGTTTGTAAGAAAATTAAGGAAAGTAGGAGTTGAGCGTGTAAGAAAATGAGGCAGGGTCCGTATACCCTACGCTAGTCTAGGGCATTAGGTCCTGCGCAGGCTTTGAGGAGAGGACTCCAAAGCCACTGGACGAGGAACTTCCTGCCATTGCGCCCATTCATGTTAAAGGTCCTCCCATGGCCGTCCCTCATCACCTGCCCTATGTACCCGCCGCCGCCGCCGGTGCCGTACAGCCCTTCGCACAGGTCCCCAATTTCCGTCGGCGCCGTCGGATCCTCGCCGGCGTACCACGCGTTCACCAGCGGATTCGACGACATCTCCGCCAATTCGTGCCCTATCACGCTAATCATCCCGTCGACGCCCACATCGCCGTTCGGCGGCCTCAGCGGCGCCGGCCCGCCGCTGCTGCCCGCCATGTATCCCGGCACCGCGAAAGGGTACGCGCAGACCTCCGGGCACTGCTTCCCGGAGTTGCCGACCCAGGCGTAGGGCAGCGTGTAGCCCACCTTGGACGCGAATGTAAAGTAGTGGAAGCCGCAGACGGCGCGGCAGAAGTCCTGGACGGTGACGTCGGTGGCGGTGAGGATGAGGTAGATCCCGTTCTTGTGGTCGACAGGGAAGGGCTTGGATCTGACGGCGGTGGCGATGACTTCCTGGATGGAGAGGCGGGTCAGGGCGGCGCCGTGGGAGTAGGCGCGGTCCGAGTACTCGCCGGCGATGAGGACGGAGCGGGAGATGTTGGCGCCGGTCTGGTCGGTGTAGAGGGAGGCGGTGCGCCACCAGTCGGCGACGGAAGGGGAGGGGGCGGCGGCGGAGATGGAGATGGAGAGGAGGAAATCCTTGATTAATTGCTGGTGGGCGGAGGGCCAGTTTCCGTACCAGATGAGGTAGACGTTGATCGGAGAGGACAAAACGGGGCCCATGTGGTACCGGAGATCGACTAGATTGGAGGAGCCCTCGAATTTCTTGGAGGCGGCGAGTGATTTGGGCGGCAGCTGCGGGTTGAAGTATTCGACGGAGGAAGGGGTAGTGTGGTTGTTGGTATCAATTCCGCCATGGCCGCCGCCGGATTGCAACGTGAGGGTGGATGAGCGGTGGTGGTGGTGAGGGGTGGAGAGGGCTAGATCGAAGAAGAAGAAGAATAGCTGGATATGAAACAACATACTTAATTATTTGTCTATGGAAGGGGCAATGGGGTTGGGGTGGAGGGGGAGATTTGATTGTTTGTTTGTTTGGGCAGTACTGTAAAATGTGGGCTACGAGTGAGTAAGGTGTAGTTGCAGTTGCAGTGAGTGTTGTGCTTTTAGGGATTTTAGGTTTGGGAATGAGAAGGTATAATAAGGGAAGAAGATGGGCTGGTGACAGCTGCCAATGGCAATGGCAATGGCAATTGTTTGTGTATGTGTTACTAGTGGTTCGTAATAATTAATAAGATTGTCCGACGACATGTTATGATGAAAGAGAAGTCGTCAAGTGTAGTTATTGAAGCGTCATCAGTGGGCGTATGGTGGGTCAACACTCAACACTCAACACTGCTGCCTGTCATGCACTCACTCACTGTATCAGTCTATTTGTGTTATCCGGGCTGCTTGTATCTTCTCCTGTTACACAATACAGTTTTATTCCTTTCTTACTATTTATTTTTTAAAAATATTACATCAAATATTTGTTGATGCAATTTTTTAACAATAAAAAGTAAAATTCAAAAATAGGAATATCTTCGAATTTGATAGATGAGTGTCTGAGATTGAGAATCTCTAAACACCGTAGAATACATGAAATAAAATAGGAAAAATAAAATAAAAGACTGGAAAATAAAGTGGTGATCCCAAAAGCATTTGATGTCGATTGAAGATCCTTTCTCTGTACGGTATAGCATCTTTAAATAACCTCTTGAAGATGCGGTTCGAACCGCTACCTAGTCGGTTACTTCAGAAATTCTCCTATTGACACGTATGTCAACCGTCCTCCCACGTCCGACCTTTGAAAACCGCTCGCCAGTTGAAACTACATTCCACTATCAGGAACTGCCCCCTCACCCGACCTGCAAATTGGCCATTTATCATCCAACTTTGTTACACCTGACCTTTAGACTTGATCCGACTTCAATGCCCAATGTTCGCACGCCCGACCTTTGAGATTTATGCCGATTAGGTCCGACTTCGATGTTTGGCCTTATTAAATCCCGTCCAAGTCCGGCTTCACTACCCAACCTTATTATATTCAACCATTGGAATTGTCCGGACCAGGTCCAGTCTCATCGCCCATCCGACCTTTGGGATTAACCTGACCAAGTCTGCACATGCATATGCCACAAATGGGGACGGGCGGGACTCGAACTCGAGACCTAGCCTAGGCTCTGATACCATTTCGGAAACTAATGACCGTCTCACCTAAAAGCTCGAACTTGTTAGGGAGACTAAGCCATTAGTTACATATCCCGCAAACGGGAGTCCTCAACATGCAGCTATACTTGGACTTTCAAAGAGCCCACTAGACTTTTCGAATAAATCTTAACCTAATTTTGGTAGGCCCATTCTCAAAAATCCTATCCAGCATTTTTTGTGCTCAACATATATATATATACTTTTTAAAAAACATTAAAAAAAATACTAACTTTTTATTTTTTTCAAAACCTCCGAAAATCCCTTATCTAAACAAACCTAATCTTACATAAAATTCAGGATCATCCTCATTTTATTGTGTTTTTTGAATTAAGATTCATTTTGATATAATGATTCTTATTTATTTAGGGTATTTTAGAAATTTTGAAAAAAATTACTAAATATCAATTAATTAAAAAAAATTAAATATAGTAACTAATTATGTTATTATACGAAACATTAACTTATATGAATTATAAACCTATACAATTAAAGATTTTTTAAAATTAAAAATTATTCGAAAAACATAATAATGTACATATATTTCATATATATTGTCATAGTATCACTAACTTGATGTCTACGATAAAATAGTGGTAATATGTAATACTACATCCGTCCCTTTTGAAAGGGGCATTTTGGAGTTTTGTAGTATATAAAAAAATAATATTAATTTATTAATGAGTGGAAGTGTGTAAGAAAATTTGACATTTTTACCTTTTGACTTTATGTAAAAAGTAAGTGTACGAGTAATGGTATGTTTGTACTTTAAATAAAATTAAAAGATATTCTGGTATTAGTGTATGATTACTTTTATTAAAAAGGAAAATAGATACTTTGAAATGAGACAGACGAAAATAGTAAAAATGATACTTTGAAATGCAATATATTCAATTGAATAAGTTTGACCTCTATATTTCTATAAATTTCAAGGATACTCACGAATCAAATTTAAGCTCAATCCACGGAATTATTTTTAGAAATCAACATCATAATCTCGCATTAATCCTTTTATGTATTAATTTTAGAATTCTTTTAAATAATTTTTTTTCAATAATTAACAATATACAACTATTTACTAGACGAAATAACCTTTCATTCCCCAAAAATTCGCCTAGCCCGAACCCCATGCGAAATCACTCCCGTTGCGAATCTCCCAGCCACGCCAACGCCGTCTTTCTCTCCCGCCGTCGACCACACACCGCCGCCGTCATTCGCCTCCCTTTGTCCACCAAAATAATTCGATCCCTAATCCCGTCAAACTAGAAACCCTCATTCCCGATTCCCAGCCATCCCGCCGCATAGGGATGGAAATAGGCCAGGCCGCCTGTCAGGGGTATAAGGCCTGGTTTGGCCTGGCCTGTTTACTAACAAGGCTAAATTCAGATATATTTATAAGTCTTTTTAAATAAATAGAACAAGCTTAGGCTTTACGAAAAGCCTTTTTGGCCTATCAGGCCGACCTGTTTATATATTTATATAGTATATTTTTTTTTTATCTAATATATATAAATATTATGTTTTTAATTGTTTATAATTTATAAAGAATTATATTTGGTGACAATAAAAACTAAAAAATTAATTTATTTTAACTAATTTATTATATATAATAAATAATTGTATATATTTTTCTATAAATATTAAATTTGAAAAATAAAAAATAAAATAAATATTATATAGGCTTTTAAATAGGCTCGTAGGCCAGGCCAAACTTTAAAGTAAGCCAGGCCTAGGCCTTAGATATATATTTTAATAGGCCAATAGGCTAGGCTCAAGCTTTAGTTTTATAAAATAGGCCCGGCCTATTTAGCCAAAGTCTGGCCTGGCCTGGCCTATTTCCATCCCTACCGCCACAGTCATTCCAATCTCCCTGTCGACCACACAGCCACCGCCGCCATCATTGGCCAAAACAAAAATCTAGTTCTCGAGCTCTCAGTGAAGCCTTAGCCAAAGAAAATTAAGTACATACAAGTCTCGTATGTCTCCATGAAGGTTTCCAATTTCATTAATGGCAAACTATTTAAGCCTAGGGATAACTTCTTAAGGAATTTCATCAAGGGAACATTCTTTAGGGTTTTTTTTTTTTTTTTTTAAATCTGATGCCTATGTGTGTAGATCCAATTTTAAAGTTAATAAATTATTGGGATGTTGTCCGTAAGTGCTTTGTGTTTAGATGTTTGATGAAAAAACTTTCCACGTTTGTATTGTGGTAGATGGAACTACTATTTCTATGCATAACTCAAACTTATATCAATATTGTTGTCTGATTCTTATCTTATATTATTATTGTGTGTAGATATAGTGTAGATGATGTCTATCACAAATAGGAATGCAATGTGAGTAATATGTTCACGAGTAAACCTATTGTGTTCCTTTTTGCATGATGTATACTTGTTATACTGATCACTGCTAAATGATGAATTATGTTAGATGAGACAATTGTTAATTTTTTTGAAAATGTTCCTATATATGATGTATATCTTAAATAGATATGGTGAATGCCTTAGAATCATATTGACATGGATAAGATCATATCCATGACATCTAATCTCAATTCAAGAGAAGAATTAACTACGAAATCGAATAAACGAACCGACGGATAATTTGGAATCAATCGACGAATACTCCTCTCGAGCAAATACCTTCATGAATCCACACGAACTGTTTGAGGCTTGTGAATGCTTCTTCCATCTCTCACGTAAGCTGCATTCCAAAGGCTCAAAGATTACCCCTCTCGGTTGATTGGAATCACTCCAATGGATGGTTGGAATCTCTCCGAAAAGAAGGAAACCTCTTCAAAGTGGTAGTTACTTTCTCTGAAAATATATGGAATGAATGTTTTACAAGTAGAATATAAGAAATATATTCTAAGAAGGCCTAATCTAATATGGGCCATACATCTAATCTAAAAATCAACGGCTCACAACATCTAAAAAAAGTAATATCTTTGATCGGGTACGGGTCGCGATTGGTCCGCCGATATTCGGGTTCGGGTCACCCGATACCATGCCATCCTCTCCCCCTTCGGCTGCCTTGTCCTCAAGGCTAGGCTCCACCACAGTAAAAATATCATCGGCATGATCAAATAGACTCAAGTCGACAACATTGAAGGTCGCGTTCACGCCAAACTCTTCTGGAAGTGCAATGCGGTAGGCATTGTCGTTAATGCGCTCCAATGCACGATATGGTCCAGCTCCATGAGGGGAACGTTTCCCATGCCGCAGCCCCGGGAAACGTTCTTTACGCAAGTGCACCCACACCCAATCGCAGGGTTCAAATATCACACGCTTCTTTCCTCGATTAGCATATCGTGCATATGTCGCGGCCGCCTTGTCAATATTCTCCCGTACTTTGGCATGCTGCTCCTTAATTGATGTAGCACGATCCTTGCCACTAAAATTCAAATGCTCACTACTAGGTAGTGGAAGCAAATCCGTAGGAGTTAAGGGGTTAAAACCATAAACACCCTCAAATGGAGACAAATGAGTAGTAGAGCTAACATGTCTATTATAAGAAAATTCAGCATGGGGAATGCATTCATCCCATGTCCGCCCACTATCATTTACCATAGCATGTAACAAATTACCTAACGTGCAATTCATAGCTTCCGTTTGGCCATCCGTTTGGGGGGTGACATGTGGTAGAGAAAAGTAAGTGCGTCCCAATTTCATGCCAAAGACTCTTCCACAAATAGGATAAAAAATACAAATCCCGATCTGAAACAATGGTTTTTGGAACCCCATGCAATCTCACAATCTCCTGGAAGAACAACTTTGCCACATGACTCGCATCCGTTGTCTTCGCACAAGGTATAGCGTGCGCCATTTTGGAAAACCTGTCAAGCACTACAAAAATTGAATCTTTCGCACGTGGTGTCCGAGGTAAACCAAGAATAAAATCCATAGAAATGTCCAACCAAAGTCCCTCCGGAGTGGGAAGAGAAGTATACATACCATGTGGCTTCAAAGTACTCTTTGCCACTCTACAAGCAAGACACTTATCCACAAAAGAATCAACATGTTTACGCATATGTAGCCAATAAAAATGAACACTAATAACATCAAAAGTAGCATGTCTTCCAAAATGTCCAAGCATATGACTACCATGACTCTCCTCAACCAAAACATCCCTAATGCTACATATGGGAATGCACAACTTATCACCACGAAACAAATAGC